CTACCCGAGTCTGGAACTCTTGGCCTGGGGTTCCTAGTCGATGCACTTGGCATGGATTGCAGTCCAGTTTTTGCCCCTGCTCCTAGCTCTTATGGCTACTCTCTCTCGCTCTCTCTGTTCGTTAGTTTTTTACTTACAATGAGTCCCTTATTTCTGCTCTGGTTCTGTGCATTAATACATACTGGTTGTTGATGGGTGATCTCTCTCTCTCTCCTTTGTTCTTTGTTTTTTGAAGAGATGCTCGGTCTTTGTATAGTTCTTACTTCTAAGTTATCTAATGCAGCAGTTTTGAGTGCCCCTCACTCTCCATCAGATTGCATCTTTGTGTGTTTTCCATTATTTTTTATTCTTTATTTGATGAGTCCCTTGTTTCTACTCTAGTTCTATGTGTAATAATGAATGCTGGTTGTTGATGGGGTGATCTCTCTCTCTCCTTTTTCCTTGTTTCTTGACAGAATGCTCTCTGTATAGTTCTTACTTCTAATGAGATATGGTTAGTCCTAAGAGTGACATTGAATTTAACAGAAAATATGGTTAGTAGCACATGAAACAAGCATCTGACGAGATAGTAGTGGCTTACACTTTGAATGCAATTCCTTGATGAGATAGTTTTGAGGTTCTTGAAATCCACTTGACTAGGTTTCTCTAAGGCCATCTTACATGTCTCCATAGTATTCGGCACCTAATCTTCTCTCCTTATGAAATTATCATGATAAAGCATCTCCATAAATATATCAGGTGTTTAAGACATCCAATCTAAATTTTAACTAGTAACTTTATAAAAAGAGTATAAAACAGCTACTTTTTCCCATTATTTGTTTTTTGAGGGGTAAGGTCCTGTGGAGTTCTTTTTTAAATACATTAATTAAACATTTAAACGTAGAAAAATCGAGGCTATTTACATAATTTGCTTTGATTTTAGCCTCTCGAGGCAATTTGCGACCACGACCCCGACCCCGACCCCACTTGTTCCGGGATCTTCAACCACAATCATTAGGAAAACTAGAGATGAAGGCAAAGGTTCTAGTCATCACTAACCTAATGTTCATAGGCGAAAGGCTACCTACATCAGGTCACTAGTAAGTCGTCAAAGACCATGAATCATTAACTATAGTATACATGTAGTCAGGCAATATCCGAAGCTCTAATGCAGATAAAAAAGGTGTCCCAACGCCTGTATTGAGTAGACATATAGCCATAGAATTCGCCTTACCCAATGCCTGTATTCAGTAGACATATAGCCATAGAATTCGCCTTACTCAAGCTGATAATCTCAGTCCAAACTGGATCATAGAAACTCTTAAAGCTGACAGTGTACCAGAAGTCTACTCCCAAGTACAGGTCGAACTTTGGCAACTTGAAGCTGGAATCATAGTTTGCATGCAAGAACCAAGCCCTGATCAGATATCTGCGGTTATCCATCAAGCCAGTCACATTGTAACAGTTCCTTTGTCCATGTTTAAACATTCGAAGATACCGGTACTGCATCAGTTGAGTGCTGTCATCGATTGGCATAACTTCTCCGGTGTCCACATAGTTCGCATCGGAAGTATAGATGATAGTGGTGTTTGGATCCTTGTAGCTCCCTTCAAGATGTCGACAGTCTATGCTTATGAACCCTGAATCAAATCACACACTTAATTTGATGTGTGCTTTATGCATTCTAAAAGAACATGTTTTGAAGAGTTATCGAATTGTTTTTTTTAGCATATGATCTTTAGGTTTATGGTCTCTTGAGATGCATGCACAGCAATATCTTGACAGTAAATTATGTTTTTGACAATATTGCTAATTCTTTTACAGCATGAGACTGATAAAAGCATCAAAACATATTAAGCACCCTGTGGTTATTGTGATTTCAACCAAACACGTGACCCAGGATTTCCAAAGTTTCAAATGTACATCTACTCGAAAAAACATAGAACTACCATTCTGTTTCAGATGTATTTGCATTGGGAATGAAGGTGGTTTATTCTCCTCCATTCCATGGATACTGTTTCACTGATGAAATCTACTACCTTTGCGAAGTAATCAAACCACGAGGTGGATGCTCTGGCCAAAGGAGCGGCTCTGGAAGGACTTCAATGAAGTTTTGGGATGGCTTTCTTTCCTATGGTTGTTTTGTTTATCAATGTAACCCTAAAAAAGAAGGCCATTTTATTCAGTCTCTTCTTCTCTCTCTTTTCTCTCTCCCCCTGTACTTCTGCTAGCGTCTCTCTTCCTTTCCTCGTTTGTACTTCCCTTACTATATGCATAAAAGTTAACACTTTCAAAAACAAAGATTGACAGAAGCTCATGCAGATGAGGAACAATTTCCTGATGAATCGACACGCGAATGGACATTGAAGCTCGTAAGCGTTTTACAAAGGCGCCCATATATTTTGCTCCCTGGGGAGCATAATTTACTTCTGCTCAAATAATAATTTCAATCTGCAAATTGGCAGCTACTTAAGAATTAGGAGATGATTATTCTCAAAATTTGGGGTCCTAAAATAAACGGTTTTACCTTAGATAGAGAGTAGACTATCCATTGGCTCGGCAAAATTATAGTTTGGAATCAAAATAAATATATAAAAAAACAAAAAGCAAAAACAATTTGGAACTTGGAGTTCCAAAGGATAAAATAAACTAAACCCTATAAGATGATCAATTTGAAGATAATTGGGCATCAAAACAACATCTTCTAGTGAAATTTTTTAGGTGGACTTTAAATTGATTGTTTAGAACCTTGGCTCTAATTTGATTGTTAAGGAAAAAGTTTATATAGAGCCAAGGCTTTAAAAAACCAAATTAGAGCACACCTTCAAATAGTATCGAGAAATACTATTTCAATACTGAAAATCTTTGTGATAGCCTAAAAATATATTTTCATTTTTAATTATAAAATTTAAAGCTTAAAAAATAGTGTAGATCGAGCAGATCTATTGAAAACTCGAAAATCTTGAAAATTGATAGTTCAAAAATGCATTACAAGATGCACTATTACCAAATCTTGCAATCAATTTTTTCTCATGTCCATGCATTTTGATATCGAGATGATCAATTTGATGATATTTGGGCATCAAAACAAACCTTTCTAGTGAAACTTTTGAGACGGGCTCTAATTTGATGATTTAGAGTATCGGCTCGATATAAACTTTTTTCAAGGGTGTGGTTTGTATAGAGCCAAGGCTCTAAAAAATTAGGGCCCACCTTCAAATAGTATCAAGAAATGTAGTTTCAGTACTATAAATATTTGTGATAGCCTTAAAATATATTTTAATCTTTAATTATAAAATTTAAACTTTAAAAATAGTGTAGATCGAGCAGATCTATTGAAAACTTGAAAATCTGGAAAATTGACGGTCAAAAAATGCATTAAAAATGCACTATTTCCGAAACTTGAAATCCATTTTTTCTCATGTCCATGCATTTTGTTGTCGAGATGATCAATTTGAGGATATTGGGGCATCAAAACAACCACTTCTAGTGAAATTTTTGAGGCGGGCTCTAATTTGATTGTTTAGAGCCTCAGCTCTATAGAAACTTTTTCTTAACAAATGGGTGCAGTTTGTATAGTGCCAACGCTCTAAACAATCAAATTAGAGTCCACCTTCGAATAGTGTCGAGAAATATGGTTTCAATACTGAAAATGTTTGTGATAGCCTAAAAATATATTTTCATCCTTAATTATAAAAATTAAAGCTTAAAATATAGTGTTGATTTAACCGATATATGAAAACTTGAAAATTGACGGTCCAAAAATGCATTTTAAGATGCACTATTTCCAAATCTTAAAATCCATTTTTTTTTCATGTCCATGTATTTTGATGTCGAGATGATCAATTTGAGGATATTTGGGCATCAAAACAACCTCTTCTAGTGAAAGTTTTGAGGTGGGCTTTAATTTGATTGTTTAGAGCTTCGGCTCTATTAGAAACTTTTTCCTTAACAAAAGGGTGTGGTTTGCATAGAGCCGAGGCTCTAAACAATCAAATTGGAACATATAGTGTCGAGAACTATGGTTTCAATACTGAAACTCTTTGTGATAGCCTAAAAATATATTTTCATCTTTAATTATAAATTTTATTACTTAAAAAATAGTGTAGATCGAGCATATCTATTGAAAACTTGAAAATCTGGAAAATTGACAGTCCAAAAATACATTACAAGATGCACTATTTCCAAATTTTGAATTCCATTTATTTCTCATCTCCATGCATTTTGATGCCGAGATGATCAATTTGTGGATATTTGGGCATCAAAACAACCTCTTCTGGTGAAAGTTTTGAGACGGGCTCTAATTAGATGGTTTAGAGCCTCGGCTCAATATAAACTTTTTCAAGGGTGCGGTTTGTATAGAGCCCACATTCAAGTAGTGTCCAGAAATATGCTTTCAATATGGAAAATCTTTATGATAGCCTTAAAATATATTTTTATCTTTAATTATAAAATTTAAAGCTTAAAAAATAGTGTGGATCGATGAGACCTGATTGATAATATATCTCTCGTAAAGCAACCAGACAGACTAAATTTTGTGCAGTCCAAACCAAATAAATAAAAAAACTATGATGACAATTGATGAAGGGTGCAATTTTGCATACGGATGCATCCATAACTGTAGAGGTAAGAAACACCTTTAAAATTTATTATGGTATATAATTTTGATGGAAAATGTCTTTAGGATTATCTCAAATCTATTTTTATATCTAATTATAAAATTTTAAATTTAGAAAATGGTTAAAATCAAGTAGATCTAAAATCATATGAAAATCATTAAAATGGATGATGTAGATAATATGTTATAAAACATACTATTTTTGGTACTTAAAATAATTTTATTTTCATGGTCATATATCTCGATTTCGAGGTGATCAATCGAAGGGTTTTTCATCATTAAAAATGCCTTGTCCGATGGATTTTTGGAGGTGCATCCGTAGTTCTACATTATAAGGTTGCATCCTTACATAAACTTTTTCCATTGATGAAGCACCCTCTATCCTTACATAAACTTTTTCCATTGATGAAGCACCCTCTCTCCCAAATGTCCCCATTTAACAAGTAATCGCCCTCTCTTCATAGTCAAATCTATCTCCATTTTGCTCCCTCTTCTTCCTGCCCTCTCTCATAATATTTATTAGGGGAGCAAAGTGCAGGCTCTGAAATTCCAACTCCCAACCCGAGCTTGAGTCCCGTTTCATTCTGTCTAGAGAGAGAAGAAGGGGAAGAAGATAGATGGTCTGCAAACCCCGTGGTCCGACCATGCCTGCGCCACCGCCTCGTAAACCTTCAATCCCAGACACCAATGACCACAAGCTCTGCGGCTTCCTCCTCGCCGTTCTCTCTCTCAACCCACCAAACCAGGAACAAGAGCACCATGAACCAGAAGAGTCCCCGCAATTAACCATTGATTCTCCTCTCTTTCTCTCCTCCGAGGGACCCAATGCGGGTTTTCGTACTGGAGCGGGTCACCTTCTCTCTCCTGTATCAAATGAGCCTTCTCTCCCCTCTGGCCAAAAGCAGATGACCCCAAATGGCTCTTCTAGTAGGAAACGAAGGAGAGTTGGCCATGGAGGCACAAGCATTGTGCGGCATCTCCATGTTCTCATCGCCAACAAGTGTATTAGAATTTGTGCTCGAATAATTAGGGTTTTAGAGAGAGAAGTGGAGGGGGCTAGAGCGGTTGTTATTGTGGATGTTTACTTGCCCCTTTCTCTCTGGTCTGGTTGGCAATTCCCCAAGTTTGGCGCCATGGCTGCTTCTCTCTTCGCCCACTTGAGGTATGTGGGTTTGCAATTTTCTTGGTTTATAGGCGGACTGAAAATATCACACACACACACTCTCTCTCTCTTCCCACCCACATGAAGCATGATTTTGCATTTGCTTTTTTCTGGGAATTATAGGGGTGAGTTAATTGATGCACATCTCTCTCTTCCCTTCTCTCGCTCTCTCTCTGAGGCATGTTGTACTTGGTTTTTTTGGTTTATAGGTATGTGATTGATTCATTGACATCTCCCTCTTCTTCTTAAATTACTCCGTCACCCCCACTTTCTATCTCTTGGCATTCAACACTGTTTTTTCATCATTGTTAGATTTTTTTTGAGTACTTGATTACAGTGGTAACCTAATATGATTAATATGTGAAATTAGGAAATGTGTTGATGATGGGTTGGATAATCATTGCATTGGAGGGATATAATGACTCAAAATGGTTTTTCTTTGTATTAACACTTATTTTATATCAGATTGTATACTATAATACTCTTTACCTTGGTACGAGGAGATCACAACTACTCTTATTTATTAGATGTAAAATCATGTAGCTAGTGTCAAAGTTTGAGGAGAACTCTTTAGAGTTCTGAGTGTTGTCAATAGTATACTTCCAACTACATAGTTAGTTATGTTCTAACCTTCTTATACCAAAGGTAAACAACTTGATCGTATCATTGAGCTAATTTATTATTTCCCTTAGAAATGCACAAGCTACCACTTATTAACAAAATAATGAAGCCCCAAGTCTCATAGATTCCATTACAGTGACATATGAACCAAAAGCGCACATAACGAGTATACAAATAGGGAATAAAGTACTCTTATAGAAACCACGCGGATAGGTCATATAGCATAAAACTGGTCGTTGTTAATTGTTAGGCTTTTGTTTATATTGACATAATTCTTAAGGTGTAGAAATGAGAGGCAGTTCATGATACCATTAGATATCCCCAAAACATAGTGAATCTTTAAGGTGTAGTGTTGATGCTATTCCGAAACTGTTTTTTCATTTGGAGTTGGTTTTATACATTGTTGGGACGATATGCTCTTTTGTTTTTCTGTCTTGAACTAACATAGGATTGTTGTGATGTAGCCATGCACATCTTGTGTATGGTATGTCATATGCAGCCCGGGCATTTACTGTTCAACTTGAGAATGGAGGAGATGAAGTTTTTAGTGTAATGCCGATACTACGGGTCATATCTATCGCTCATCTTGATAATGGAGAGCACAAGATATGTGTTGTGTATTTTCGATGTGGCTTATGAGTGTAGCAATAGCCACAATAGGTTAGGGTCGGAGCTTGGAGAAGAGTGTTGAACTCGACTTTTGTGATAAGTACGTAAATATTCTTAGGGATCCGACCCCAATTAGATGGGAAAAGGCTTTGATGATAATGAGTTAAATATTCTTAGGGCTTATTTGGATGTACTTGTTATCGTTGATAATTCATTGTTTCGATAAAAATCTTGATGATGAATTATCCGTTGTTTGGCGATACCCGTCATAAAATTATCTGAGATAAGCTTATAGGCAGCTCTACATACGAGTTTGTCTTTTTATGAAACTATTGTTACCTCATATTCATAGTAATTTACTAAAAAAATCATGTGTTCTTTGGTAAAAAATGACTAGAAAAGTTGAAAATCGCTATAAACTTTAAAAATTTAAACAACAATGATATGTATAATACAACACATGTACCAGATAGCTAATAAAATAATATTATACTCTATATTATACACAATATATTAATTTTGTATAAGATAGTCTACTCTTGACAGAAGTAATTGTCGTCCAAACATGCCCTTACTTTTTAATGCACATGCCTTTTAGTTTAAATGATTGGACATATTGTTAGGAGAAATTCGAAAATTCCATAAAGGGGCCGTTTGAGTAAGAGAAAAATTGAAGCCACAAAGTTTCAAAATCCATGCATTTTAAAATAAATGATTATTGACTTGGATTCCTGTTTTCTCCTGTTAAACAACCAATTTAAAGTTCATGGATTCCTTGCAAACATTTCCATTTCCATTGTTTGGTGTTAGATTGCCACGAAAATTCACAAGAGCCTTTCTTTAAACCAGTGTTCGCAAAACCGACCGGTTAGAACCGGAACTGGTCAGTTAGATCGCTACCGGTGTGGTAGCGAGTCCAGTTAGGGCCGGTTTTACGGCACACCTCATAAGACGGCAGTGTCCAAAAAAAATCGGCACCAAAACCGGTCAGTTTGAGGTCGAACCGGCGGTTTTTAGTACAAATCGGCCAGTTTTTCCTAACCAGTTCGGTTTACCATTTTAATGCCCGATATAACGGTGTTTTTCAACGCATCAAATAACGGCCGTTATTTGATACATGCCTGTTATTTTTCACAGAACAAGATTTTATCGCTTTTTTTTTTGTATATTTTTTGTTTTTTTCGGTCAACTATTGATGTTATACACCGGAAAGTTTCTATAAATTGTCGATTATTGAATCAAAATTCCAAAAACAAAGAGTTCTCGGCGGATTGACATAGGGTTTTTTGAAAATTAGAAATTTCTGCCATTTTATCAAATGCAGCTTCAATACCTCATAGATTTTCATAAACGTGGAGGGCTTTGATTCATTGTTGAAGGATTCAACGTTCACATATTTCAAATTTTCCAAAACGATGAAGATTTTGAGGTTTGTTTGGGCCCGAAGTACTGCTGCTCGAAGAACTGTTTTATATCCAAACAAATTGATCAATTTTTATCGAATTGATCGTTGAGATCATAAAGGCCTCATGTATCAAATAAACTAATTATTTTGATTTACTATTAATTAAATTTTTTTATATCAATTTTTGATTTACTATTAATTAAATCCGCAATTTTTTGGATAAATATCTCAATAGTGATTGAATCTTTATGAAATTTGGGCCATTTGAATCTTAATTAAAGTATCTATCATATCCCCTTGTCAATTTGTTCAAAAAATGAAAGATTTGGGGTTAATTTTGACTCTAAAGTTTATGTGTTATTTGGCTCGATGTTAGGGTTCTTAAAAAAAATTTGTTTTTTAATAAAATTACGTTTTGTTTTTATAAAAATATGTTATTTGTGATGAATGTGAGAAAAAAAATATATTCTTTTTTTTTTTTAATTTTATATATTTTTGGTGAGCTTTTTGGATCGTTTTTTATGTTATTTATGTTTTTTACAAAAATATGTCCTTTTTTTTATGAATATGAGAAAAAAATATTTGCTTCTTTTTAATGTTATATATTTTTGGTGAGCTTGTTGGATTGGTTTTAATGTTATATATTTTTTTTATAAAAATATTTTTTTTTGTGATGAATATGAGAAAAAAATTTATTTCTTTTTAAGATTTTTTTTGGTGCTTGTTACTGTAATCTTAGTTCTCAACTTCTTGTTTAGTTCTGACATTTCATTCTAATTTGTTTTTTATTTGTTTCAAGCTATCAATCATTTTTTGCAACTTCATACTCCTTAAATCTGTTTATTAGCTCTATGAAGAAAAGAGGTAGAAACTAAAAAGCGTTTCTCATCTCTCATGTTTCCACATGCTGAAATGGATAAAAAATTAACCTTTTTTCTTTTATTATTAATATGCATCTTAATTCTAGATTTTGAAGTTGCCATCTTATATAATTTTTTTTTTTTCATGTTAAAACCTAACTCAAAAGGGTACTGAGTAAATGAGGTTTGGTCATTTTAAAATCGATTTGGCCATTTGAAAATCGACTTAGCCATATTTTTTAAAATATGCGATTTGGCCATTTGAAGCAATACTTAACACCTTGACCCATACCTTGGATTTGATAACCAAGTTGCTGAGTATATGAGGTGCTCTCTCTTACTACCTTGACTCACAACCCTTCGAAAAACTGGGAACATCATTCTACAAAAAAATACGCTCTGAAATCCAATTCTAAACCGTATTAAAGGGTTTTTCAACATTAAAACAACATTTTTCAACATCAACATTAAAAAAATATAAAAGCATATATCGTTGCATCATCCATTGTTAGTTGGACTTTGTAACTTCATCAATTGAATTTATGTGAAATTATAAATTTTCTCGCATATCTCCATAATATTCAAATATTAAATTATAAAAAGTTGTTTGAATTTTTTTTTATAAGATAAATGTATGTAATATGGTAGTGTATACTTAATCTAAGTTTTTCTATTTTTCTTGGGGGGTTTTGACCCATTTTTTTTTAAAAAAACCTACTTGACCGATTAGTCCGGTTAACAGCTCCGATTAGTCCGGTTTTGGTTCGAACTGCTCTCAGGCTCATGACCGGTTAACCGTTCTGGTTCGATTTTGCGAACACTGCTTTAAACACATGATGTGGCCTCAGGAAAACAACCCTCAGTGACCCAACACCTAAACCCAATTCGTCTTTCTAGATCACCTTATATCTTTCATTGTTTTCTTTGTTTAATCCTAGACAACCCAAACTCCCTTAATAACCTGCTTCAACTTTGCAACTATAGTCCAATCCTCTATCTATAGAAACCACCTTTTTTCGTCACTCAATTCTCTTCCTACCCTCAAGGACAAGTCAAAACTACGCTCATAGATTCATCATCATTGTCATAACTAGTATGGGAAAAATGGGCAGTTCAAGTCGTAACTACTCGGTTAGTGGCTTCTTCCGGTTTCGGCCAATTTTGGTTAACCAGCCGGGTATTTTAAAATAAATTTTATAAAATCCCAAATAAGGGAATTTGTTTGTAATGCATTTTTTTTAATGCTTTCCTTGATTTTGGCAAATATTTAAATTTGTTTTGGACATTAATACTTATTTTTACATTTTCCCTTTTTTTTGGAAAATTGCAAAAATACCCCTGGGCACAATTCAATTCTTTAAAATCCATTTTTTTATTAATTTTCAACTTTGCTTGGATGTGCTTTGTTTAATCATGTTTTAAGGATACATTTCATATTTTATTGGATTTTTTTTTTTGCATTTTTTTAGCACTTTTCAATTGTTCGGGACTTGCTCGGTTAAACT